CTACAAGATGTAAACATTCTTGAGTGTAAGCAAATTGTCCTTACACAAAGCAGTTCAAGGACTCTGCTGCAACCATCATTTCAATGTTATTTGAATGTATTTGCAGTGCTGACACTAACATATACATGTCCTTTCATGTCTACTAAAGAAACGAAGTGTAGGAGTTGGAGATATTATGTCAGTTGGTTAAAATAATCGATTCATATATACATTTCTTCCGTAAAGGCAGTAAGAAATTATCTGCCTTTTCCACACGAGTATTTAGTCCTCACAGGTTTCTTTCTATACATGTTCATAATTACCAATACTATTTACTTAGTATCGCACTTGAATTTTTACCTTTCTAGCCTTACATTTATTTCATCCCTCGTCCAACAGTCTATTGGCACATATAGGAGCGATTCATCTGAAAAAACTGATGACTATTCTGATTAACTTCAAGCTCATCACAAGATCCAAAATAAATAGTGAAGTTTGTTTGCTCCTTTGCTGCTTCGCCATGTAAGGGAAGTCACTAGTAGGCCAGGATTCTTAAAATTTTACCAGCAGGGGCAATTTAATACAGAGAATAACAACAACCCCCCCAAAAAACCTGTGTTCATGTTGACTCCTCCTCCCCTTCCCAATCTTAACATCCTTGTGGCAACCTGTATGGAGCATTAACATTCACTAATGCAATTTGGCAGCTGCAAAGTACAAAAGCCATCCCTGGCAACTTTCCAGAAAACATGCATGCTCTGTAGACTTCAGTTTGGGGAACTACAGAGACATCTGCCCCGAGCCCCACTTTTGTTCCTTTTTCTGTTCATTATTTTAGACTCTTTCATTTTCTATCTTTTCTTTCTCCATCCACCATACACATACTTTTAGTGCTGTGGAATACAGTGCTGATCTTGTGGGAATAAAATTAAACTTGGTTTAATTAGCTCAATTTATACCAGCATCATTGCTCCCACTGGAAAAGAACTATGTTAGGAGATAAGAAACCGCTAATCCTCCACTACCAATGCTAATTTGAAAGAGGAGAAAAAGAAGAGCAAAGCACTAACTTTTTAATCTAATGCTTTCTGAACTCTCCATAGAAGACCAACTCGCAGACACCACAGGAACTAGCTCCATACTCCAGTACCATTAAGGCCCATTAATAACCCAATACTCAACACAGAGTACGTTGGGTAATCAGAGTGATCATCAGTGGTCCAAGGTGAGTTGCCAACCTGACAGCTATTTAAAAAAAAAATGAAGTGGACTTTAGCCTAGCGATATTAAACGTAGTTTCAAAATGATATGCAGTTCAGTTCTAAATTTTGGCTTCTCCATTCCTCCTTCATAAACTCCATCATTACGTTATTTTGTCATACTGAAAGGAATCTGTTGCATGCATCTGAGATCTTTTATTTTAAGCATACTTTGTATGTCCCATGTCTTAATTCTCTCACAATTTGACAGTCAGGATCAGATGCCAAAATACAGGCAAATTAAATTACTAGGAAGCTATTTCTATAATTCTCACTGAAGATTTAAACAACACTGTGCCCACTAATTTAGCTTTCACAAAAATTAAGCCAATACTTTGAAATTGTGTTTTGAAGCCTAATTGTTTTCTAAAGTTTACACCTTTGACTGCCCTTTTTAAACTCAGTATATTACACTAACTCCAGTACATGTGCTGTGTGATTTTTCATAAACTGCCCTAATCCTCTAAGATAGGCAGTTAAAAGTGTTAAAAGCACTTGTTTAACAAACACTCCTTGAACATATTCAGTCATTTCTGTTTACTTCAGACCCAAAAACAGCTTATTCATATTTCCAAGGTAGTCATCATAGCCAAACAAATGTTGTGCACCAAAGAACTTTTAGCCAAGATGCTGTCAACAGCAAGCTACCTTACACCAACATAACTGCACTAACTAAAAACTGTGGAGACCAACTATAGCCTCATTTAGATTGTATACATGTAAGCAGGTAGAAAAGTGAAGATGCAATTACAAAGTATACCATTTTTATAGTAATGTAATGCACATCTGAAAAGAGTGCTACACTGGTGCATTACAATATGGTAATCTGGATTATATTTCAGGAGTCAGCAGTGCCACCCCAATGCACTATGCCTTCCTTAGATATTTGTACATGTTTACCTAATTGATACAGGTATAGAAACAATTTG